CTTTTAATAATGTTTTGTCTGCTTACCAAAACTACAGGCATTGCAAAGAAAAAGATAATTTATACTCCTCCAGTGTTTGGTATGTTTGTTACCTTTCTATTTCTTAATCATCACTGCATTCACAGATTTACCTTTGGTCTTAAACATCACAGAGATGAGAAATTAATATTAAAAATGGATTCGGCAAGGCAGAGCTGTTCAGGGTCGTTATGTTACTTGACATTGGGTTAGATTTTGCTCTGTTTATCATGGCTTCATTAAGCATAGTAATTTCAGAAGTTTAGATGTTGTATTTTTTGCATCTGAAAAAAATTTTGAAGCGTTGTCTACTTTGTATTATAGGGTTTAATCTATTGCAAATTCAACAGAATTTTTTGCAATGAGCTACTTAGGAATATTGGGGAGGGTGCAGCAGACAGGAGGAGTAAAGATCATCAGAAAATACTTCCCAAAGATATCCAAAGTCAATTTTTCAGAAAAAAAACTTTTGCGAAGAATGTTTTCTTAGTTTTCTTTCTCTTTTAGCCCAGACAGCAAGTCCCCATGGGCACATGCCCATCGCTGCATCCCACTCTCTGGGACGCTGCTGGGCTGGGGCCGCACCCACACCCACAGCAAGGGCAGGTTAAGCTGAGCAAATGTGCTCCTTCAGGCTCCATATTTCTCCCAATTGACTGAATACAGTATTTCAGGTACTTAGTATTCCCTACATTTACAAGGCTGCAGGCATGACAGCTGAGGTTTGATTAACAACCAGAAAGAGTGAAATTTCCAGTACAGTGGAAGGGAATAGATTATGTCCTATAGTATTGATATTAGTAATTTTGTTCATATTTTCTGCTTTGATCAAACTCATTTTTGCATGGGATTTTTCATTTTCATTGTTCAGATTCCAACCAAGATACTGTAACCAAAATAATCATTAAGTTTCCAGCTCAATCATCAATAATAACTTAATTTCCAGCTTTTCTGACCATCAGATATGCAAATTACTTGAACAACAGGGACACAGACCTTTATCACTATTTCTGGCACCATTTTTTTCTTTTGGATGCTGACAATTCTCAAAGATTAGCATAAGATTTTAGTTGGATCAACAAGGAAAATACGCCATTTCAGCTGCAATTGTCTCCTCATTTACCAAAGTCTCCATACAGAAACCTGGTTTAACTTCTATTTAACACACAAGCATAGAACAAATTTCTTTGCTAACTAACCTTACCTTACATAAGCATTAATACATATTTTTAGAATAAGAGGCAAATACCAGAAAAAATAACCACAAATGTTCATAAGAATATGTCATCAAACGTGTTTTCATTACATGGAGACCTTATTTATTAGCTGCTCATCAACCTTACGCTTGATTACTTACCAAAACAATTTGTAAAAAGCAAACCTTTAATTAGTACCATATTGTCTGTATGTCCACCTGACATTTTTTTAATAATCACTCCCAATCTGTGAGAAGAAACTACACCGTATGAGTCACATGTCCCGTAAATCAGTTTGAACATCAGAATTTCTCAGTTAACTGCCTATAGTACCCTGCAGACCAAGAGTTATTTGCTAAACTAATTCAACACGTAAAATGAATAATGTTGGTTGAAAAGCCCATCATTTGCTGAAAGAATATTTAAGAGCAAAGCAAGAAACTCAGCTATTTGAATAAACCATTCCCCTGCAAACTTTAAGGAACATTTATGGTCCCTGCTTAAATTTTAAAAAGTTTGTATTATTGGTGCAATCAATTAGAGACGGAGGGGTAATCGGAGACTGCACATTAAGGCAAACCCGCAATGGGACCTCATGGCAGTATGCCAGGGAGGGCCATGCATGGGACAGATCCGTCACAGCACATGCTGTGCCATCCCCTTCTCCGGAAGCATGTGGCCGCAGGGGTCGTTACTTGAAAGGGTGCATCTTATTTCCTTTTCTCAGTCCTGGCTGCCACAGTACACATAATAAGAAACGAAAAGCCAATCCCTACATGTCATCCACCTGTCATCCCTCAGAAACTTTCTTGTTTCTGACTCCATAGGAATGCATTTCCCTGCTCAGGCATGGGAATCTCTCTTTTCTGCTACTACCTCTGGCATTTCAAATGAGATCTGCTGGAAAGGAAAACTATCACGGCCAGAAAAAGAGAGAGCATTTAGTACAGCTTGTCAAGAGCTAACATCCATGGAACATGGCCTTCACACCAGGACAGTGCCCTTATCCAGTTACTGCTCGGCCGCGTCCTGCTTCTGAAGTGTTTGTACGTGCTGCCAAAGAAGGGTATTCTTAAATATTGTGATAAATTCAGCTGCGGATTCAACAGCAATGGACTTCCAGCTGCCAAATGGAAAACTTGCATGGTACCATAGAGGAAGACTGCTCAGAGCCAGACTGTCCTATGGAGTAACGCACATCAAATGTCCCTCGAAAAGACAGCATGCAAGTGCTCGAGTGTGCAGTGTTACTTCTACCAAAATGAGAAACTTTGAACGATGCCAAAGACAAAGCAGAAGTCATTTTTTGCAAGAGGCTCTTTTATCTCAGCCTGTGTTTGACCTACAGTGCATCAGTGCATACCAGAGGGCAGACCAAACTCCACCAAATTGCTCACAAAGGAATCGTTAACTTAGCAAGGAGGCTGGAAAAGTATTAACAAGGAATCCACGAGATTTAATCCAAGGAATTAATGAGAAGTTAAAGGAAGCGAAGCCACTTAAAAATCTAAGAACACAAGGACGGATCTGCTGAGTGGAAGGGGTAGCTTTAGTTTCAGCCGAAATGTGCACTTATTTAAAAAGATTCAGTCTAGTGCTTTTGGTATTAATGGCCAAGCTTTCAAACAAGGCCTGAACTGTGAAACACGTACGGGCCACCTACTTCAAAGGAGAGTTTGCGTTTGCTGCATGGATCCTCAGGAATAATCAGGATATTACCACAGTTCCAGAGCTCCTATACAGATAACGGTACACTCGTTATGAATTTGAGCCTTCAATTTCTGATAAGTAAATCCTCATAACCCTGTATGAGGATACTAAAGGTCCCGGAGTTGCTGTTAGTAATAATCACTCAGCAACAGCGAGAGAAGTACCTTGAGGACTTTGGCAGAGCACATGGCAGGCTCTGAATTGAGCATTAATAAACAGAGAGGCAAAAACTAGGGAAATATTACTGGGAAGACACAAAATTTCTCTTTACAAACTAGATTTATATTGAGAGCAGTATGCTTCAGTGGAGATTCGACTATTTAAGTTAAAAATGCTTTCTGCAAGGATGTTTGTAAATGGATCACTTCCAGTGAAATGAATGGTAACTAAAGTGGGCAGTATTGTCCTCAGTTTTCCCAATTAATCTCTTCACTTCAGCAGTACAGGAGATCTCCACTGTACCAGAGTGACAAGAAAAAATTACATTTTTAACACTACAGTCTGCTTTTTCCAAAACTACAGCCTGTACTAGTCAGTGTTAACAAACTGGTTTGTTTTGGTTATCATGTTTTGTAATTTTATGAATAAAAGACAGACTTAGGTGATCACAGCAGAATCATATCAATGCCTTCCAGTTTCCAGTTGTAGAATGTTCATGTACACAAATAAACCAAACCAAAACAACTAAATCTTGCTCATTTTTCCACAAATATTCAGAGCCAAAGTAAGTGCATAGAAAACAAAAAACTAGCTATATCAAAAAGTTTGTATGAATCCATAAAACTGTATAAAACATAGCTTAACGCTTCAAAAGCAACTTCAAAGCCACCTTATTTGGTCATTTCCTACACAATCACAAGAAAAAGGAATGTTCCTCAGCTGATGTGCAACAATGTAGAAAAGTAAAGGCAAACAAAATTTCACAATAAATAAAATCATTTTACTGACAACAGTGCTGCACCACGGGATAACATAGATTGCCTAGTTACCAAAGAGTAATTCCGGAAACGTTCAGCACCTTCCTGCCAAAAATGTTAATTTAATCTTGCATCTAGCAACCTGTATGATGTCAACTTCTCTATCACAATTAACGGTTTGATTTTTGATGTGCATGCTGACAGCATGGACAGTCATTTATGTGTAATTCAAAGTCTGATTATTTGAATGTTAAAGTTCCCTGATTGTCTTTATATTGGAAAGCAGAAATCTAGTAAGAAAATAAATCAGCTTTGCTACATTACATAACTTCTCAATCTGATATGAAAGTCAGGTCTAAAGTTTGCTAACATTAACATATGATGCAAAAATATAGTTCTGCCTGAGAATAATTTCACAAATTATCATTTTGTAGATGGTAAAACCTGAGAATAGGGAATAAAGGAACTTTATATGTGTCTTCAACAACAAACTGAATCAATAAATGAATTCTCTGAGCGAGATCATTTGCTACATTGTAGTTGGGATTGACTGAAAGTTTCACATGAATCATTTTTTCCACAAAAAAACCCTCAGATTTTACTCTAAATCAGTATTTTCCATATGAAGATATGACTGCAGTGTATTTTGTGTGGGGGCAAGTCAAAACATTGCATTCGGGTTTGTCAAGCTGGAACATTTTGAGTTAACATAAACTTTGATCTGGCTTAGCCTCGGTGTTGCTTCCCATGGCTACTCTCCCCAGGAGCTATGCTCCGTGCTTGGACTACGCTTTCTGTAATACACAATGGAAATTGTGATCTTCACTACCGAATCCTCTCTTCAGATTAACTATGGTAGCTCAAGCGGATGACGGCTTTTATGCTAGCTTTCAAAATTTGCACATTTTTTATTTCATTAAATTATTTTTGTTGGTTTTTACAGTTGTCATCTAGTCAAAACTGTTTCATAGAAGGAAGAAGCCTGATACTTCAACTTTTGACGCTAAAGCAGCTGAAAAGAAATACAGAAAGTAATCGAACTTTCCCATAGAAGGAAAGTCCATTTGCACTTGTGTGTGTGCTCTCTCTGATTAATCTGATTCTGTTATTATTTATATAGTTTTCATATTTTATATTACTTTCTAGGCTACAGAAGAAGATGAACCACTTTATTCTACTTTTCCCATTGTTCTTGGCTCCAGCATTTGCTGACAAAGAAAGTCAGAAAACAAACCAAAACTTTTCTTCGAACAATGTCAGTCATAAACGACTGAAGAGAGCCTGGATATGGAACCAAATGTATATCCAAGAAGAGATTGATGCGCCGTTACCACACCATGTTGGCAAGGTAAATAGCAGTCTGTTAGCGATGAATCATTAGAAATGCAGACATCAAATTAGTATCTTGAAAAGTATTACTTGTTTGCAGTCTAGGCAGAATAAAAGAGGAAAAAAAGGGAATAGAAATAGGACTTAATACCAACATACTAACGTGTTAAAATCTTAAGAATGTGGACATGGAGTAAATCAAGAATAACGTCAAAGGGATTTTAATTCTTCTGAAGAATACAAATAAATTTTAGAGAATGGAGCATCCGCAGTGCAGAAACAATTGCATGGCATGCAGGTGCAGAGTTAGGAAGGAAGTCTGGCGGCTGATGTATGTCAATATTTTTCTGGCAGCTCAAGATTCTCTCACAAACTTAGGAGATCAGCTAATAAAAACATATGCATTAAAAAACGTACAGTTTACACCTCTCAGTTTGGATACAAAACAAAAGTGCTATGTTTAGGAATACTGTTATACAATCAAAAAACTTGTTTCACAAAGTGAAAGAAAATAATTTTTAAAAATAATGAGCATTGACCTGCTTGCAAACTCATTTTCTCCAGGGCAGTGCTCATAAAATCCTATGATTAACTGCATATCACCCAGACAAAGTTCTTCCAGTCTAGTCTTTCAAATTGAACTACTTTGATGCTTTTCAGATAAATGCAGTTGTACATTTTCCTCCCATGTACAACAATCAGCATCTGTCAAGGCTGTCTCAGCAAAGTGAAACAGACCTTTCTGGATCAGTACTGCTCACTGGCAGAAAGCACAAGCGAGAGAGAAAAGGGGCCATCGGGTACTCAGCTAAGGCAGGGTATCTCTGTTTCATTTCAGACGAATTCAGCAGCAGATTGAGGAGAACACTTCTATTCCTGGAGCTGTCCTAAATAAGAGTAATTCACTTTGTACTGTGCTCTGTGGTCTTTCAACAGTGGAATGCTTCTGATTACTTTTGCAATGGCTGTGTTCATTGCATTGTATTTGCAGGATTCAACACTTGATAAACCCTTTAAAAAAGGCCACAGCAGCAGCGCAGCAGAACTAAGTGACAGCTGCAGGAATATGCTGATACATTTTGATTTTATCTTTCATGACCTTGGATGCTTTCCTTTGTATGTTCGTCCTCGGTTTTAGAAAAGGCAATCTTGGAACTCTGTACCTTTTACACTGAGTAAGTAAATAAAAATAGAGAAAGAAGGCACAGACTATACTATCTTTGAGACAAGGGTAAGGTTATTTCTCATGTTACATCTCCAGAGTTGTAAACTGCTCTTTAGCAGCCCTAGAAGCCAGAAGCATGATTAAGTATGTGGAATGAGGGAAGCAAATTTTAACAACACATTTCAAAAGAGAAAACAGAAAAGAAAGAACGTTTAAGAGTAAATGACAACTACAGGATAAATCAAATCCTGAACACCAAACAGCTGCAATTTATGATAACATCAGTAACAAAAGACTAGAAATTCTTGGTCAAACCACTCAATTATTGATAAATAGCTAGCTGAAATAAGAATGCTGATATAGTGCATGGAAAATTGTGGTTTAAACCTTCTATCAGTGTCCTCAGACAGGTGAAGGTATAGAAAGAGAAGGATCACCAGACTATCTGCAGGTTAAATAATGTGCAAAACCATTTGCGATTGGATTAAATTACATTTTAAAACAGATTAATGTTCATTCCTTTAACTTCATCCCTTTTTCATGGCATATAATCTTAAATATTAAAATTTGTGGGGTGGAAATTTAATCTTGCTGTCATAGCATGAGCCTAAAGACTGATGATAAAAAAACTGCATGTGAATAAACACAAGGAAGCTGTCAGCTATAGTAGGAATTCTGCTAAATGCTAAGTAATAGAGATTAATGCTGAATAACGTCAGTAGTTGTGAATCTAGATTTGATTCCGTAATTCCGTGAAATCTAAGCAAAATCTCTGCTAAATTCAGAAAGTTACTTGCACACAAGAGTAGCTCAGACTGAACGTGGTGGTGTGTGTTATTTCAGACATAATGAGGTTAATGATTTGTATGCGTTAACTTCCTGAACAATTTCTATTTTTAGGAAATACGAAATATGATTTTAAAAAAAATACTTCTTGATATATAAGCAAGCAAGTTTCAGTCGGAACGCAAATTTCATCCTATAACCCTGCATAGCTGTAGCTGCTGTGGTGCTGTTTGTTAAGTAATACTCCAGCTGACATCCAAAATCTTTGATGGCTACTCTGGTTTCAAACTGAGTCTGAAGAAGTCCTGATTTTGTGTACCTTCTGGTAGAAACTGTGTCGCATCCAGATGCCAAAACCCACTTTTCTCTCTTTGTATTATACTTCCCTTCTAGATTGCATCGAGTATAAGGAATAAGTACGCTAAGTACATTATTGAAGGTGAATATGCCAACACCATTTTTAAAGTGGAAGAAACCAATGGTGATGTATATGCATTTGAGAGGCTAGACAGAGAAAAGAAAGCAGAGTATGAGCTGACAGCTCTCATTGTTGACAGAAGAAACAACCAGTCACTGGAACCCCCAGCTAAATTCATCATCAAGGTTCATGATATTAATGACAATGCCCCTGTGTTTGTACAAAAAGTATTCAATGGATCTGTCCCAGAAATGTCACCAGTAGGTATGTTTTTCCACCACTCATTTCCCTTCATATTTCTGGTTAAAAGGCAGAATTTATACTAAATATGCTGTTGGAAATCCTTTTCTAGGAACCTCGGTCACCAAAGTGACAGCTGTAGATGCTGACGACCCAACAGTTACAGGTCATGCCACAGTTACCTACCAAGTCATCAAAGGAGACGGATACTTCACAGTTGATGACTCTGGTAGGTCAGATACTCAAGCATCCTTACATTTTGTCCTTACCTTATATTTTGAAGAAAACACAGTTTTAAGCCTTTTTCAGTCTGTACAAGGGAGATGATAATTCAAAAATACAATTTTTACCATAATTTAGAAAGACACTTCATTCACACTCACACAATGCCACTGTCTGCATCTGGAAATGAACTAATAAAGTTGGGATATCAGGTGCCGTGAACTAAATGAGAAGATAAGAGGTCTTTTTTTTTTCCCCACTGATGAAGAGACTGACTAGGAGCTAATATAAGTTCATGTTTTCAGTTTAGCATAGATACCATTCCTTTGACCAAACAGGAAAAGAGAATATGTACATTCTGAAACAGCATTCAATAATCAATAACTTAACTCTTTGCTTTTCTAAATTTTCTTGTTCGAATTTTGCCTAGTTTTAAAAATAATTTCAGTACTTCTTGTAACCATGCTAGTTCTCTGGAGAAAATAATTCTGACAAAGAGGTGCTCAGACAAACTCTAGATGCTGTAGTGATCGAGTTTAGACATTGTCAGCCTGCTTCTAAGCAGCAAAGATCAGTTTAAAGGAATTTATTGCACAACATGTCCCACATGTAGAAAGACTTCTAACATTTCTAGCCCTAGAAAAATACCACTGTAAAAATGCTAGTTAAAGCTGAACATGTGGCATAAGACAAAATTGCTGTCAAAATTAAGAGATGTTGGACATGCTGCAAAATCTAATCATATTCAATGCTATTTTTTCAAAGGTGTGATTTCTACAACAAGGGCTGATTTAGACAGAGAGAATCAATCAACATATGAAATTATTGTTAAAGCAAAAGATGCTCCAGGATCTTCCGGGGATTCAAGCACAGCTACAGTCATTATCACTTTAACCGACATCAATGACAACTTCCCAGTATTCAAACACCGTAAGTATAGTGCAAGCGCTGTAGCATTTGGAAAACAAGGGCTGACACAACCGTAACAAATTTATGTCAGAGTTCTTCACAATTCAACTTTTCTTTACAGTGGACTAAAGAATCTTACGTACTCAGGTCTTCTGTATTTTTCAGCCCTAGCCACATTTCCTGGGTGACACACACCTGGAGAGGAAAATAAAAATCAGTATTAATTTCATCACTTTGTGCAAGATCTTGACAATTTTGATAATTAATCATACTTTTATAAAAAATACATCAAAGTGCTGTTTGTAGGGATATCTAATGCCGAATTCTCAACGAAATATTTTTCTGTACGTCTATAGACAAAGGACAATTTTTAACTAAGTTCTAGCTTCCATGGACACACTCTTTATGTCTTTTTTGTTGTTTTGTGTTTTTTTTTAAACAGCATCGTTTACCTTTACCGTTCCTGAAAACATTTCAGTAGGAGGAGAAGTTGGCAGAGTCAAAGTAGAAGATGTTGATGAACCACAACACAGAAATACAAAATACAGTTTTGTCAGAGGAGATTACAGAGACACCTTTGAAATTGTAGCAAATCCATTCACAAATGAAGGAATTATTAGGCCAAAGAAGGTACTTTTCCTAGTAACAAAGATGATTATTTCGTTTTCCCATGTGTCACAAGAGTGTTTGATTCAGTTTGGGACTAGCAGCAGGAAAAAATGGAAATGCATGGAAGCCAGCATGAAATACATTCATCCTGAAAACTCTGTTCTTTAAGTGCTGTGAGAAGAGCTGGTGATTTACTAGCCCATTTCAACTGCCAGTCCCAGAAAGATTTAGAATTACTGCAGAGTGCAACAGGGACTATTTCAGACATTCAGGTTACACACTTCGGGCTCCTCTGAAACCTCAGAAATCACTACAGTGATTTTAAGAGTTAAACCAACTGATCAAGTAAAAAAATCTTTCCCTTCTGCAGGCCAAGTGAAACCAAAGTAGAAAATGTGAACAAGTCCACCTAACCAATCTTCTAAAAGTGCTCTTTACAGTTTGGCACTTGCACAGATCTGAGCCACAGCTCCCTTACTTTCCCCTCAGGGTGTTTTCAGAGCTTCCCCACTAATTCCTTATAACTCTTTAAGAGGGCCAAGACTCTCCAAAGTCTTTACTCTTTATTATGGTTTGCTCTTTGTTTTTTAATTCTCAGACCTACTTGACTTCTACCAAGGGAAATTCCTGCGTTATGCAGAGCACTGCCAAGCTAGAAGTTCATTGATTTCATTGACTTACAGTTTAAAAAAAAAAAAAAAAAAAAAAGGAGAGAGGACTATAAATCACCTCCTGTAATCCGCAAACTGACAGGCATGTGTTTTTCACTTCCAAATGTCTCTCTGTAACTGTTAAGACTAAAAATGTCATTAAGAAGAAGAGAAAACTTTGAGGTAAAAAAGTACCAAGTATTCCAAGAATGACAGTAAAGTCTTTGGCTGTGGTCACACTAGGTGCAAGCAGCTTTCCTTCACCAAATGCGGCCCTTCCCTGGTCTTTCCAGGACCTGAGGAATGCATTGCTTGCAGCTTCTGCCCAGAAGAGGAGCAGTAAGAGACCCCACACATAGACACACCGAGTGATTTGGAATCATTTCATCTTTTAACATGCAGTGGGCAAAGTTCACTCCGCTGTTTTGTAACATGGCTTTGGCCATGCACGTCATAATTTTAAATCTGCAGCCATATGAGATAAGATTTCAACTGCTAGATAAGCACTATCACTTCCATTTGCTACGTCTACCCAAAGAGAAAAATAAGAGTCACCACAATTAACTACTGTGTATTTCACGGTGCTTTTATAATCTCAGGCAATTGTGCAAAGAGACCCAAACATTTGAAATGAGTGATAGCTTGGGCATTTCTTACTGCCCTAACTCCTGGCCTTCCTTCCATTGTGTGATTCCTTTTATAATCTCAGTCAATTGGAAAAACAAGGAAGCGGATGTTGTTTATCACTAAACGCCCCAGTTATCAGTCAGTGCAGCTATGAAGTCTGCCTTGAATGACTTCAGAACAGAAGAAGAGGAGAATCTGGTCCCCAACCTTTGAGAAAAAGGAGCTAAACAAGTTTTGGTAGCTACAGAATTATAAAATTATTTAAACCAAGAATGCTTGCTGAACTTAGAATACTGAACGAATTTGATCAAAACCAGAAGTTGCTCAAGCCACTGCATGGAAGAGAAGTTCAGTTTGGAAATGCTCTCCCAAGAGTTTAGCTAAGATACAATTTGGTAATATTTCCAAATGTGAATTAGAGCACAGAGCTCAAATTACATAGGTAGATAAAGCAAAGTTTACTTAAGACTTCTCCAAAGGAAGAATATCTGTGTTTGTCTTTTTTCTAGCCCTTGGACTTCGAAAAAGTAGCAGAATATAGGTTTGACATTGAAGCAACAGATCCCACAGTTGATCTTCGCTATTTTAAAGCCGGTGGCTCTCGGAGCATTTCAACAGTCACCATTCAAGTCACTGACGTTGATGAGCCTCCTGTCTTCACTAAACTACCATACGAATTTAAAGTAAGAGAAAATGATCCAGAAATAAGAACACTTGGTTCAGTTTGGGCACATGACCCTGACGCAGCTAAACGGAAAATCAGGTAACATCACACCAGCTTTAGTAATTCTATTTTAAAGTGGAGAATTCATTAATGATTCCAAGAATTTACCAAAGTAGTATTTTTCAGAATAGGCATGCCAAAAAAAAAAAA